TAATAAATGTGATTTTTTAGGCCTCTATGTCTTGGGTGCATTTGTTATGCAAAAGTAGAAAACAAAAACAATGCTCCTTTAGCTTTGTTTTCTCCTTTAAATCCAGTAAAATCTATAACAAAATTGGAGGTCTGAAGCTGAGACTAAGAGTTTAGTCTAGAGGAAAATATTTCAGTAGATTCCATTCTTCTCTTTTGCTATAATGCAGTATGTATTTTTTCTTAGGTTGAAGCTTTGAACAAAATTAGGTTATGTTATTACCAGTGTCTAGTGGTCTTAGAGACAGAGTTAGTGAATGTCAAAGAGATTCATTCAGTACATATTTTCCCTAAATTCTAAAGAGGCTATTAGCTTTTTTCATACCATGATGATTCATTTGCTCTCTGGTTAAAACAAACAGGTTATTTCTAAAAAACCATTAACTCTTTACTATATATGGAATAGAGATAGCTTTAATTGTTCTATTTTAAAAATAATAATTTGATGGAATGAATTATGTGTTTGAATTTCTAATATTGAGGCTATCCCTTCTAGAAAATCTAAATTTGATCATGAAATACTCATCTACTTAACTCAATTAAACTCAAAAATATACAATTGCTTATAAGGAGATCTGTTCTCACTATGATTAAAAGCATTTGACATGAAAAAATAGTTCAAACAACTTCAGTAAAATAAAATATTTTTAAATTAGGTACTTATATTTTTTATACTAACTATAATCCTTAAATTGCTAGAACTTTTAAGTAAAGTGGGAGTGGTGACTTACACCTTAATTCCCAGCACTTTCGGAGGCCAAGGCAGGTGGATTGCTTGAGCTCAGCAGTCTCAATCTGGGTAAGATCAGATCTGGCTCAACCTCAATCTGATTGAGATCAGTTTGAGTTATATGGCCAAATCACACCTCCACCAAAACTCCACAAATTTAGGTGGGCAGGTTGTCATGTGCTTAGGGGTTGGAGGCTGCAGTGAGCCCTAATCTTGCCATTCCACTCCAGACTGAGTTACAGAGCAAGACCCCAACTCAAAAGAAGTAAATAAAATAAAGAAGTTATAAGTGGATTTGAGACTTAGGTTTTTATTGAGATTTTGTACTTTTTAATACCTATTAGACTACTTAAGTAGTTGAAAGTAATTCAGCAGCTAGAGGATCTGCTGAAGTTTTCTCTAATGAGTAAGGAAAGATATGAAACTGTATTTTTGAAGGTAGTCATAGGAGAAAAATGCAGTATTATTGAAAGTACTCTACAGAGTTCAATATAGATGGAAAGGTGGATGGATGAATGGACAGAAGGCTAGAGACAGATAAATGAAAAGATATAAAAAACAGAGGGTAGTATTTTACATAAACTCCTGTATCATTTATTCTTCCTTCCCACAGGATTTCTCTTCTGACTGAATTTTCATTTCATGTATATACATATTTAATGATTTTTCTCAGAGAAAGTATGTAAATAGCTACATTCTGAGTCATGGTATGTTCAAATTGTTTTCCTTTTATTTGGATGTTTTCATTTTTATATATCTTGATTGAGGCATAATTTACATACCATAAAATTCACTCATTGAAAATCAGTGACATTTAGAGAATTTATAGATTGACAAAATGATCTCCATAGTCCAGTTTTAGAAGATTTACATCACACAAAAAAGTTCATTTCTGTGCCTTTTTAGTCAGTTCCTGTTTCTATCCTCAACCAGAGGCAGCCCCTAATCTGTTTTTTTTTTTTTATAATTATACTTCAAGTTCTAGGGTACATGTGCACAACATGCAGGTTTGTTACGTATGTATACATGTGCCATGTTGGGGTGCTGCACCCATTAACTCATCATTTACATTAGGTATATCTCCTAATGTTATCCCTCCCCTCTCCCCCCACCCCACAACAGGCCCCGGTGTGTGATGTTCCCCATCCTGTGTCCAAGTGTTCTCATTGTTCAATTCCCACCTATGAGAGAGAACACACGGTGTCTGGTTTTCTGTTCTTGCGGTAGTTTGCTGAGAATGATGGCTTCCAACTTCATCCATATTCCTCCAAAGAACGTGAACTCATCCTTTTTTATGGCTGCATAGTACTCTATGTTGTATATCTGCCACATTTTCTTAGTTCAGTCCATCACTGATGGACATTTGGGTTGATTCCAAGTCTTTTCTATTGTGAATAGTGCAGCAATAAACATACGTGTTCAGCTTCTTCCTGGTTTAGTCTTGGGAGGGTGTATGTGTCCAGGAATTTATCCATTTCTTCTATATTTTCTAGTTTGTTTGAGTAGAGGTGTTTATAGTATTATCTGATGGTAGTTTGTATTTCTGTGGGATCAGTGGTGATATCCCATTTATCATTTTTTATTGTGTCTATTTGATTCTTCTCTCTGCTTTTTGTTTATATAAATCTGCCTTTCTGGACATTTTATTAACAAGTTATCATATAAGTGTCCTTTGCACCTGGCCCCTTTCACTTAGTGTTTCTGAGATTCATTCATATAACACAATGTATGCATAATTTATTCTTGTTATTGCTTAATAATACACCATCATGTAGTTATGCCACGTTTTGTTCATCCACTTACCAGTTCATCCACTTACCTTCCAAAGTGCTGGAATTAAGGTGTAAGTCACCACTCCCACTTTACTTAAAAGTTCTAGCAATTTAAGGATTATGTTAAGTATAAAAAATATAAGTACCTAATTTAAAAATATTTGACTTTACTGAAGTTGTTTGGACTAATTTTTTCACGTCAAATGCTTTTCATCATAGTGAGAACAAATTTCTTTATAAACAATTGTATATTTTTGAGTTTAATTAAGTTAAGTAGATGAGTATTTCATGAATGAAATATTTGAAATGAATATTGATAATTTCGATAATGCCTTTTTTGGAGCTGTAAGAAACAATACTATTTTGGATACCGTGATGGTTAATAATGAGTATCAACTTGATTGGATTGAAAGATGCAAAGTACTGTTCCTGGGTGTGTCTGTGAGGTATTTCCAAAGAGATTAACATTTGAGTCAGTGGACAGAGAGAGGCAGACTCACATTCAATTTGGATGGGCACCATCTAATCAGCTGCCAGCATGGCTAGAATAAAGCAAGCAGGAGAAGATGGAATAGCAGACTTACTGAGTCTTCTGGCCTGCCTATTTCTCCCCTGTCAAATGCTTCCTGCCTTCAAACATCAGACCCCAAGTCCTTTGGCGTTTGGGCTCTTGTACTTACACCAACAGGGGCTCTCAGTCCTTTGGCCACAGACTGAAGGCTCCAATGTTGGCTTCAGTACTTATGAGGTTTTCAGATTCAGACTGAGCCACTACAGGCTTCCTTGCTCCTCAACTTGCAAGCAGACTATCATGGGACTTTACCTTTTGGTCGTGTAAGTCAATCTTCCTTAATAAACTCTCTATCATATACATACATATCTTATTAGTTCTGTCCCTCTAGAGGACCCTACTACAAACAGTGACATATAAGAATGTTCTATGGACATATATTTTTATTTCTTTTGTGGAAATCCCAAAAATTGAATAAAGAGGCATTTACTAAGGGATACATGGTAAATTTATGTTTAATTTTTTTGGACAAATGTGAAACTCTTTTTAAGATGACTGAATCACTGAATATTCCCAAAAGCAGTGAGTGAAGGTTGTAGTTTCTCCACATTATTCACACTTATTATATTTGTCTTTTCTATTAAGAATATGAGAAGGGATATCTTGTGTCTCATTGTCATAAGTATATAATGCTAGCTCATTATAGTTCAAATTAGCATTTTCTTAATGATTAATTATTTTGAGCATCTTCTCATGTACTTATTAAAACTGAGATATATTCTCCAGTGAAATGTTCATATCCTTTGCCAATTTTAAAATTAGATTCTTTGTCTCACAGGTTTCTGAAATACTGTTAATTTTTCTTAATATATATTATATTCTTTTTTTTTTTTTTTTTTTTGGTTAACATTCCAAACATGTATAACCAGTGAACATGACCCAGGGATTTTCTTTTTATTGGTATTCACTTCAGTAACTTGAATCCACAGATATAAACAGTATATAACCAGAAAGTTACAAGTAAACACAAATTTTACATGCAAATTTCAGTTCACAAAGGTCGCATGTGCAGGTACATGAATTAGAAGTGTGCATCTAGGATTATGGCCAAACCGTTTTTAAAATGCAGAAATGTAAAATTACATCTTGCAAATATGAAGAGATGGTTACACACTTCAAAAATCAAATGTTGCTTATACCAGAGATGTATGACAGGAATCAAATGACAAGCAATAAGATCTCAAAAATTAATACTGGTCAAAGAGAACAGGAATATTTTTACACATCACTGAAAATACATTGGCTACTAGAATATGAAATCTTGCAGGATCTCAAGGGAAAGATTACAAAGTCTAAAGGCAATTACTTAATATTTCTTATTACCCAAACAATAGCGTGACATTAACAGAAAACTGCACCTGCATTTGAATTGCCAATCTCACGTTAATGAAGTTCTCCAAAAATGAAATGCAACCAAAACACGTTCAAACTCCAACTGAAAGTCTGCAAGGCTCAGATTAAAACATGGAATGTTTCAGATGAAAGTAACAAAAATACTATTGGTTTTGTTCTTTATTGAATGGAATAAAATGTTGACATTTCTTTGAAACTTGGAACTACTGAATTTCATTTTTCCAAATGGTTTTTCATTTTTTTCTTAGTGGTGCAAGTTGTCTTAAGTAGCTTAGGAAGTCAATCTCTACAAAGTACTTCTGTCTGTTGTCATTCTGATAAAACAAAAAATATTCATTAACGTAACTATATGTGTATTTTTTTTTTTTTGCTATAACACTTAACACATGAACAGACATCTATTATTTCTCCACTAAAACAAAAGAGTACAATAGTTTTCTTCTATCAGTATTGTATTTTAAAAAGGTTAACATTAAAAACAAAGAACCGTTATTTTCTTTGAAATCATCAAATTTCTTGCACATCTTAAATTTCCTTCTTCTGTCTGCGTTTGTCTGCCAATTTATTCAGAAATTTCTTTAATTTCTTTTAACGAGGAATGATGCTGCAATGAGTATTCTTTGCAACTTCTTCATTTGTATAAAAGAGTGAACACAGCTTACAGTAAAACCCTGTTTTAGGTATCACATGGTCTATACCAACAGGAACACTGGGCTGATACGGTCCAATTCTATACTTATCTGGGATTGTATAGTCCTCCTTGTTCTCATCACTCTGACCATCTGCGTTTTCACTTGTATCTTTGTTGGGATCATCAGCATTCTCAGAAGATTCAGCACCTGGTTCTGTGTTTTCCTCATTTTTAATTCCATTTTCCAACGCTGCTTCATTTTCTTGATCAAGTGCCTCGATCTTGTCCACCTTAATTTCAACCAACCCATCATTTCTGTCACCAGATTTAAATGCCATGACCTATTTACGAAGTTTCTGAAGTTCCGAATCTTTCTCATCACCAACCTCATCCAGAATGACAAATCCTTCCATACTCCCTGGGAAATGACACTTTTTAAGTTTTTTTCTTTGCTGCTGCTGAAGCACTTGCATCTTTTTTCACAGCATCTGAAGGTTCCTTTTCCCCATCAGAAGCCACATCACCTAAATTAGCAAGATCGGTCTCGTCTCCCACTGAACTGCCACTTTCTAGCAGTGCTGCTGCTGCTTCTTCTTCTACAAGTAGCTCATCTTCAGATTCAAGAAGCATATTAGGTTCCTGCTCTGTCTGGTCATCCTTTGTGTCTTTCTCACCATCTTCACCGGACTTCTCTTCTTGTTCTTTACCTTCGGTTGAACTTTCAGCCTTCTGGGAACCATCTTGGTTTTCTTGTCACTTGGAGATTCTTTGTCATATGGAGAGTTCTTAGGCTGCAGCCGCTGCTGCCACCTCTCGCCAGCACAGTTGCTGCGGCGGATTGTGGGAGCCTCCGCTCTTCGGGAGAGTTGTCTGCTGGTGCTCCACTTGAAGAAGATTCTGCAGTCCTGATTGATCCTTTTTCTTGGCATTACCATTTTTTGAAGCAAAGTTAACCTAGCTTTCTAGTTTGAGCTTTCTTTTTGGCCGTCTTAAAAAAAAAATGTTTTTTAATCTATAGAATAGATAAGAGCTAGTTCTACAATGTCCAAGTCATTCCAGTAGTCATCTCTCAGTAGGGATTCACAGGGTCATGGGCATGACCTGTCTGCAGCAGAAATAGGCCTTCTTGCTGCTGCTACCCAGTATTTTAAGTATGCCAGCATCTCTTGAAAGGATAGACCAGGGTACTGCATGCCTTGCTAGTTTAATGAATCTTGGAATGGGTTCTTCATTGAATCAACAAGGAGCTCATAGTGTACTGTCTTCTGCTAGTACTTCTTCCCATCATTTGCAGTCTATATTTAACATTGGAAGTAGAGGTCCACTCCTTTTATCTTCTCAACACTCTGGAGATGCAGACCAGGCCAGTAATATTTTGGCCAGCTTTGGTCTGTTTGCTAGAGATTTAGATGAACTGAGTCATTATCCAGAGGACAAGATTACTCCTGAGAATTTGCCCCAAATCCTTCTACAGCTTGAAAGGAGGAGAACTGAAGAAGGCCCTACCTTGAGTTATGGTACAGATGGCAGGTCTGCCACATGGGAGCCACCATACACAGTACCTAAGGATGATTGGGAAGAAAAAAAGGCACTTTAGAAGAGTTTTGATGATCGTGTTCCTAGTCTTAACCCAGTGATTGATTATGACCATGGAAGTCATTCTCAAGAATCTGGTTATTATGACAGAATGAATTATGAAGATGACAGATTAAGAGACGGAGAAAGGTGTAGGGATGATTCTTTTTCTGGTGAGATCTCAAATAATTATCATAAATTTGACAGTGAGTATGAGAGAATGGGATGTGGTCCTGGCCCCTTACAAGAGAGATCTCTCTTTGAGAAAAAGAGGGGCGCTCCTCCAAGTAGCAATATTGAAGACTTCCATAGACTCTTACCAAAGGGATATCCCCATCTGTGCTCTATATGTGATTTGCCAGTTCATTCTAATAAGGAGTGGAGTCAGCATATCAATGGAGTGAGTCACAGTCATCAATGCCAGCTTCTTCTTGAAATCTACCCAGAATGGAATCCTAACAATGATACAGGACACACAATGGGTGATCCATTCATGTTGCAGTAGTCTACAAATCCAGTGCCAGGAATTCTAAGACCCTCCACTTTCCTCATTTCATCTTGGGGGACCAACAGTTGGACCAAGAGGAAATCTGGGTGCTGGGAATGGAAACCTGCAAGGACCTAGACACATGCAAAAAGGCAGAGTGGAAACTAGCAGAGTTGTTCACATCATGGATTTTCAATAAGGGAAAAACTTGAGATACCTAGTAGAACCATTTGGAGTCATTTCAAATCATATGATTCTAAATAAAATTAATGAGGCATTTATTGAAATGGCAACCACAGAGGATGCTCAGGTTACAGTGGATTATGATACAACCACACCAGCATTAGTATTAGGCAAGCCATTGCCAGTTCATTTATCCCAGAAGTATAACAGAATAAAGAAACCTGAAGGAGAGCCAGATCAGAAGTTTGATCAAAAGCAATAGCTTGGACATGTGACACATCACAGCAATTTGCCCCATTCTGGCTATTCTGATAGTGTTGTCCTCAACCTTGCTGAGCCTTATTGGAAAATAAAGAATTACACATTGATGATGATGAAAATTCAGGCTTTTATTGAGATGGAGACAAGAGAAGATGCAATGGCAATCATTAACCATTGTTTGAAAAAAGCCCTTTGGTTTCAGGGGAGATGTGTGAAGGCTGACCTGTCTGAGAAAAAAACTGGTACTGAGGATTCCTAACAGAGGCATTGATTTCCTGAAAAAAGATAATATGTATTATATTTTTTATGTTCTTTAGATTTCTATCTCTGTATCTTAAAGTATATGGATGCTTTCTTCTGCCATTTAAAATCACCTATTGAAAACCTCTAGAAAATCTTCTATTTTAGTCTTTTTACTTTTCAACTCCAGAATTTCCATTTGTTTCTCTTAGTGTTTAGTTTCTCTATGGGCATTCTGTCTATGATGAATCACTGTCATCTTTTTTTTTTTTTTTTTAATTCTTTGAAGATGGTTTTCATTTTTTTTAACATATTTATAATAGCTGCTTTAAAAACTTTGTCTGCTAGTTTTAATATCAAACACTTTCTATTGGTAGCATTTTAATGGTATCAGGGGAACCACCCCCGATAATTCAATGTAGGTTCTTTTCTATTTCCCTAAGTGTCAACCGGTCTGAGAAATAAAAGGAAAGAGTACAAAAGAAAGAAATTTTAAAGCTGGATGTCTGAGGGAGACATCACATGTCAGCAGGTTCTGTGATGCCGCCCAAGCTGCAAAACCAGCAAGTTTTTATTAGTGATTTTCAAAGAGGAGGGAGTGTATGAATAGAGTGTGGGTCACAGAGATCACATGCTTCACAAGGCAATAAAATATCACAAGATAAATGGGGGCAGAAAGAGATCACAGGACCGGGGTGAAATTAAAATTGCTAATGAAGTTTCAGGCATGCATTGTCATTGATAACATCTTATCAAGAGATAGGGTTTGAGAGCAGACAATCGCTCTAAAATTTACTACGCAGGAATTTCCTTGTCCTAATAGGCCTGGGAGCACTACAGGAGTCCAGGGCTTATTTCATCCATTATCTGCAAGCATGTAAGACAGACATTCTCAGAGTGGCTATTTTAGAGACCTGCCCCTGGGAATGCATTCTCTTTCACAGTTCTGTTCCTTGCTGAGAAAAAGAATTCAGTGATATTTCTCCTATTCACTTTTGTAAGAAGAGAAATATGACTCTGTTCTGCCCAGTTCTCAGGCAGTCAGACCTAATAGTTATCTCCCTTGTTCCCTGAACATCGCTGTTATCCTGTTCTTTTTTTAAGGTGCCCAGATTTCGTATTGTTTAAACACACATGCTTCATGAACAATTTGTGCAGTTAACACAATCATCACAAGGTCCTGAGGAGACACACATCCTCAGCTTACGAATATGACGTGATTAAGAGATTAAAGTAAAGACAGACATGGGAAATTACAAGAGTAATGATTGGGGAAGTGATAAATGTCCACGAAATCTTCACAATTTATGTTCAGAGATTGCAATAAAGACAGGCATAAGAAATTATAAAAGTATTAATTTGGGGAACCAGTAAATATCCATGAAATCTTCACAGTTCATGTTCTTCTGCCATGGCTTCAGCTGGTTCTTCTATTCGGGGTTCCTGACTGCCCACAACATACTGGTGTGTGTGTCATATGTTCTGTTGTCTCTTAACTTTTCACTGAAAAATTGTCATTTTTGATACTATATTTTTAGTGAATTCTAAGTTCTCTTCCAAGGATTGCTTTGTTGCTCTTTTTTGTTGTTGTTATTGGTTAGCACCTTGCCTGGATTAAATCTGAGCAATCTCATGACATTAGTTCACAGATATTTCTCATCAATTTTTGGAATTTAAATCTAAATTTTTAAGCCTGAGTCCCTAGGGATTGCTTCTGTGTTTATATAGCTTAGTGTTCATGTCATCATTAGGCAAAAGTTGTACTTATACATCTTGAATCTAAAGGCTACCACCCTTACTAGTGGTCATATGTGTGTGTGTTGAAATAATGGATTTAAGGTGTTTCACAAGTATGTTTCACTCTCACTTTGGCTGACCATCTTGTATCTTTTCTGAAGTTGGGCACATTCCCACAGTTAGCCAGGAATGTATGGATAGATGAGGCCCACTTTAGTTTCTCCTACAAACGCACAGCCTTACAGCCAACCATAGGAATGTATGGTGTGTTTATTATAACCCCTTAGGGTTATTCATTTCCTGGAACTTTCTTTTAAATTGTTGGCTAATCTGCCAAACTTTAAATCTGGTCCATTGTTTCTCATACATAATCACAACCTCTGGCTAATGGATCTGCTGGCCTTTGTCATTCCCGCTCTCTAAACTCGCTTATGTTACTGTAAATCTCACAATATATTCCTCTCTGAATCTGGAGATCCAGGGTCACTATGGGCTCTCTTTGGTGATGAGGTGTTTTGTTTTTCATGACTGGTCTTTGGTAGAATAACTGAGTAACTGAGGCTGAGTTAAGGGAATAAAGGAAGACTCAGATAAGAATGCCATAGTCTCATATTATTTTGGACCAAGGTTTAGTAGTTTTCATGTATAAATCTTTTTAAATTTGTTGTATGTCTTTGTATATCTTTACCAGAGCTCTGATATATATCTCTATATATATCTCTCTCTATATATATATAAATATATGTATTTAAATATATCTAGTTTGATCATTGCTTTTAGGGAAGATCTGATGATAACCTCATCCCATCCTGACATAAAGCTCATTGAAATGTCTTTCTTTGCTCCTTTCAACAGATGTATGTTATTTCTGATGAGTGCAAGATTCTGACATTACAGTTTTGTTTTCTTCCCCTCA